TGCTTAGATATCTATATAACCTCATGCTTAGATATCTATATTAACCACATACACATAAAATATGTAATCATACAAAATTATGGATTTGTAGATTTATAAAGAAAAAACCCAAAAAACCTGAGTTTGCAGGAGCGTAGAAGACGAGTCAAGGACACACAGTTACCCTCCACAGAAGTGATCCTACCCACTGTTTGGTATACACCACTTCGACAAGCAGCATAGAGAGCACAAGCCAGCCAGTGAAGGGAATCACCCTGCAAACATTGATTCACAAATTCAAAATGTAATAGAATTTAATTCTAAATCATTTTTATAGCCTTGAAAAAAAAACTAAATATAATTAAGCTTTTGAAAAATACAACAAAGAAACCAAAAAATTATTCTCTTGAATATAAACATTACAAGTTCATATCTTAAAATGGTCCTTAAAATGTGTAGGGGCTTTTATGAAAATGTCATCTGGGTTTATGAACTGCAAACCCTAAAAACTTCCATGTTTCCTTAAGCTTCTTTCTCCAGTAAAATCATCTCCAGGGATTAATCTAATGAAGATGATACCTGCCTTCAAATATTGAAATCATCCTGGTAGCTTTTCTTTGTACTCCTTAAATAAAGTGGCCATTAAGCTTTCAGATCTTAAACTTAAAAGTTCTGCTAATACATCTATATTTTCAATCTTTACATTCCATAACTCAAGACAGATCACTTATGGGATGATTAAAAATATAAATGCACCCTCTAATTTTTTAGAAATTATCTATTTCCCTCAAACTCTTGTAGGGTTGGACTCTTATAGGCCTTCACTAATGCCAGCAGAAACTCATTTCATAAAGTAGTCACCTGTTAGAAAAATAAAACTGTTCTAACTAGAGCCTAGATTACATTTTCCAAATCTTAATCACATTTCCTCTTGTCCCATTTTCTTCAGGACATGGAACAAAAAAATCACAAGCTTTTATCCTCTGGATAATCTCATAAACTTCAATAACATTACTCTTCCCTTTTTCTCTCAAAAGAAAACAAATTATGAGATCTTAACCCATCCACGGAATCATTATAGCAACTGCCCTAAAAATCCTTTCTAGTTATTCAATATTCTTATATTTCATTAGATGGGAACTGTTTGATATACACAACTGTTCACTTTAAGTTTAATACAAGAGTGTTTCTTAGTATATATTGTGTGAACTTTAAAGTAAGTTATTTTTAAAAGTGAGAGGTTATGACAAGTTTGCTTACATAAGCATTTACAAATTATTTTTGCATAGTTCAGTTGGTGTGAATTGACATCACCTTACTCAAACCTGAATTTTTCTCATTGCTTTAACTGAGTATTGTTACATCATAGCATCTCAGTTTGTAGAAAGCTCTAGGCCTTGGTTGGGCAATATACATATATAGGCAACATAGTTTGCATAAGTAAATAAATTAGTGAAAGTGTAAATAAAAGTGAAGTTAGACTGCATGATTGTGAGTTTAGCCATAAAAAACATATAGTAGCGATTTCTAGTGAGTTCCACAGCTTGTATTTTAATAAGAGAAAGAGGAGAATAATTTGTCTTATCAAAGGGTGTTCTGAAGTTACTGAACCCACTTGTGTGAGCTTTGATGAAAAGGGGGCAATTAGTTAAAGCTCTGGATACAACTGTGGTAACCAAATTATAGTGGTGATTTTAAAGTGAGTGTAACAGCCCTGTATTGAAATAACAGAGATAGAGGAGAATAATTTGTCTTGTCAAAGGGTGTTCTGAAGTAATTGAACTCACCTGTGCAGACTTTGAGAAAAAAAAATTATTTAAAGCTCTGGATACTTGTTGTAACTGTGATAGTCAGTAGTGTAATGAAGTTTTGTACATACATATGACTTGTTTTGAATATGTTATTTTAAAATTGGATTGTATGTTGTCCATTTAGTGTTGAAATTTATCAACAAGTCACAGACACCTACTTAACATTTGGGGAGAGCCAGCCAGGATTATACAGTGGTAGAAGATGTGAAAGACAGCAGAAGTACGCCTATATATGCACAACTGTGGTGATGGCAAAAATGATGTAGAGGTTACAGTCATGCCATATAACTATGTCGACTGATTTTGATAAATCGATAGAGGGAAGTCAGTGACTTGGGCTAAAAAATAGTAATCTACGAGAGCTTGTTAAACAACAAGAAGACCTAGAGAGAGAAGAGCATAGGCAGAGAAAAGAAGAAAGGCTAAAAGAAATAGAGAGAATAAGAGTACAAATTGAGAAAGGAGAAACAGGAAAGACTACTCATACAGAGAATAAGTGCATAAATTGAGAAAGAACAAAAGGAGAGAGAGAAGAAACTGTAAATAGAGAGAATAAGAGCACAAACTGATAAAGAAGAGAAGGAGACAGGGGAAAAAGGGGGAAATAGAGAGAATAACAGCACAAATTAAGATTGCAAAACAGAAAGATGAAGGACCCAAGAATGTCAAATGAGTCAAGATGAAGAGAAAGCCAGAACTGGGATAAGGGTGACTGGGCAGTCTGTCTAGTCCATTTCTCACAAGTGAATGCAAGTATGATCTCACAAGATGCCATAGATCATGAGAAGTTACAAGTGGCGTTGCTGAAAGGTTTTCATCGAAAGTTCAGAGAAATCAAACCTGAGACTGGAGAAATTGCATTTCAGTTTATGGCACACCTATGGTGATATTTCACAAGATGGACTGACGTGGCCAAGTGTGAAAATAGTTTTGAGGGACTGACAGATCTACTAATACATGAATAGTTCATGATCACGTGCTCCACTGATATATCACTGTTCCTAAAGGAGAGTATAAATGACAGGTCCAATTAAAGTTGAAACCAGGGGTGACTGACCAGAAACAGGAGACCACCAAAGGTGACAAGAACTCAATGGACAAAAGGGAGAATAGATACTAATTTGTTATAAAATGGGGCATATTGCAAATGAGACCAAGTCTGTCACCAACAACCAACAGCAGAGTTGTTAACATACAGCAGCTGGAGCTACCAACATGGATGGTGCTGGCAAGGAACAAGAAAAGAATGACTGATGGTCAACTCAAGTTAGCAATTGGATCAACAATGCCAGTAGTGATTGGAGTTTGTGATAAACATAGAGAGATGGCAAAAAATCATTACATGTCAGTAAGTGAAGGCTATGTCAGGGACAAGAAAGTGAAGGTCCTACAAGACACTAGGTGCAGCAGTGAGAGCCAGTCTAGTATCTGATGATCACATGACAGGCAAAGTACATCTGTATGTGCTGATTGACAGGATAGTGAGAAAGTTTTCCCATAGCAAGAATAACGATGGGCACTCCATACTACATGGGAGACCTTGAGGCCATGTGTATGAAGTCACCCATCCATGACTTGGTGATTGGAAACATACCAGACAGTCGAAGTTTGGAGAAACCTGACAGAAAGAAGACTGAAAAAGCATCTGAAGTCACCACTAGAGCTCAAGAAAAGAAATGCAAGCAAGACATAGCCTGTGCAAGTCGTGAAAAGTGACATTTCTAATGTAGGTTTACGGGAACTGAAGGAAGCACAGAAAAAGACCTCTCACTGTAAAAACTTTGGGACAGTGCCCGAGAGAAAGTCGAGCACAAAACAAAGAGGAAAGAAAATTACAGAACATAAAGGAGTGCTGTACTGGCTCTATCATCGTAGTTTCCTCTGAGGAAGTTAAACAGATCATAGTACCAACAGAATACTGGACTCAAGTGATGAGACAATTGTGGGAGGACACCAAGGAGCAAAGAAAACTGCGGATAGAATCACCAGCAATTTTCATTAACTGGAGGTCAACAAAGACGTGAGCAGATTCTGCATGTCATGTGACGAGCTGCAAAAGGACAATACCTAGAGGGAAGGAAGGAAGCCAAAGTGCCTCTCATAGAAGAAACATTCAGCAGAGTAACTGTGGACTTGATTGGACCTGTTTCTGTTATGATTGCTAAATGATAATCTTTAATGAATACTTGGATATTGCTCTTATCACACTAGAATTTTTCCCATTACAGAAGTAAAACTAACTGGTCTATAATTTTCATGACAATTCTTATTACACTCTTTAAAAATACGAGTAAAATTTGCAATCCTTTAGTAATCAGGCATCTGCACAATATCTACTGACCTACCAAGACTTGTATAACTGAACTCTGACCTTTTTTTAGTACCCTAGGAAAGATTTTCTGTTCCTGATGCTATAGTGCTATATTTTTAAACATAAATATCAAATCAAAGCTGCAAATGTATGTATATATACACACACACACACACACACATACATACATACATACAGACCTAAATCTAGATGTTAAATTGGATACATCTATTGATACATACACCTACAATAAGCCATACTTCCACTATAGCAGTAATATTAAAACTAAGTATTTTCAAGTCTTCCATTAATACAGCTAAGACCCATAGTTAGGCCTTCCAACTGGCATTAGGATAATTAGTTCTAGGCCTAGATACTCTAAAACAGTTAATAATAATAATAATATTATTATTATATGTAGAGATAGATGTCGGTTCTCAAAATTAACACCAACAAGCTAGCAGATTGCTGATTAGTGTTGCAATTTTGCAAGTAAATCTTATAAGGCAGTAGAAGAAATTGATAGTACAAATTTAAGATTTGTTTAGTTCAGTTCTACATTTATTTGTTGTATGTTAGCTTACCTACCTCAATAAATTTTAAGAGTAACGTTTATATTGAGATACCAATGATATACGGATGATAAGTTTCAGTAAGATTATGTAAAACAAGGATATAAAAAGCTTACCTGAAGCATTCTTAAGAAGAGCTATAATAGACTAGAGGGCTGTGATAGGTAAGATATTTGATTGTTAAAAGAAATGTTTGCATATATTCACTTAAATTGTCATTTAACATAATTTTTGAGATGTGTAATATCTTTTGTGTAGTCTAAAGTTAACACTTTCCTTGACTGAAAATTTATTTCCGATAGATTCTAACCTCCTCTCACAGAATAACTTTTTCCTACTTATACTGCCCTCTATACGCACAAAGTTTCACTCATTCACTCACTACTAGCTTTGATACTCCCACCTACCCTCTTGTGAGGTAGCTGCATGATAGTATGCAAACGAGCATGTGACAACCCTCCACCAACAGAAATGCAACACAACTTCCAGCTCAGCTGGTAATTATACAAGTTAGAGAAGTTTATAATTTCCTAAACTGAAAATATATTACCTTACTCACCCAGAACTATTCTCGATTTGAC